TTATAGTTTGATGCGCGCCAAGGATGATAACATCACACACACACCTATAAATACAAGACTTAAAAGATTAGGAGTACTTTAAGTTATTCCAAACTTAACACTAAAAAGTTAAAATCACTGTTACATATTCCTATTCTTTGCTTCAACAGAAAAATGCGTTGCAAAAATTAAAAGTACAAATTAGAAAAAAGAAAGGTGAAAAATGCATCCAAGTTGATTTCCCAATAAGAAAAGGATACTGACCTGAACTTTGAGGAGTATTTTTAAGAGAGCACCTGAGAACTTTCAAACGAACCTACTGTGCATAATATGTTTGAGCTCTAAAATTTAGATAGCTTTATGTAATTATACAAATAAATGCCACACATAGAATCTTAACATGTTTTATTTAAGATTTGTTAGTTTTTTATTTGAATTTGAATTCTATTATTTCTAATACTAATTTGAAAAATGCTCTTATATATATATATATGTGGTTCATTCCCCATCTTACAGCAATAATACTTACAAGCCGCTAAAGCAAGCCCCATGCATGTGTTAAGCCATAGAATAAAAATTACAGATCATGCATGGCAAAGAAATTTAGGAGCTCGGATGAAAAGAAGATCCCCAATTAGGTGCTTTTCTCTATATGTTAAATAAAGAATGAGAATATCTAACTAACAAAGTTAAGTCTCATTTTAACTTTAAGTGAATAGTAAGTAGAGTCACATTCATTTCAAGTATTAGATCTCTATTTTGTCAAACAAAAAAGAGAAAAAGAAAACACTATATCAGCAGAAAGATTCTCTAATCTACTAATTACGTAAGCACATATAGGATAGCTATATATATTACAAATGCTTTGATGAGCTTTCTAATTCCTTCCCTTGTCTTAGTAATAGTACTTGCAAACTGCTTAAGCACCCCATGCAAATGTTACACGACACAATAAAAGTTATACATCATGGCAAATAAATTTAGGAGCTTCGATGAAAAGAAGGATCCCAAATTGCATGCTTTTTTCCATGTGTTGAATAAATAATGAGAATATCCAGCTAACAAAATTAAGTCACATGTTTAAGTGAATAGTAAGTAGAGTTAAATTAATTTGAAATATTAGATTTTTATCTTGTCAATAAAGAAAAAAAGGGATAACACACACGCATAACTCTACCTACAGTAAGAAATCCCATTATGTATGAAAGTGTGAAGATAGTAGCACTTCATTTTTTGAAACTTGAAATAGGAAAGAATAGGAAGTTACAAAAATTATGATTGCTAATAATAAAATCCATCAAACTAACTACACACAACTTTAAGGATGGCACCAGATAGAAAAGTTACAACATATATTGAAATTGGATAAATGAGCCCTTTTCTAGTTCAATGTTAGTCACATCTTAGAAGAGGGAAAAGCAGGGCCAAAGCAAAGTAGTTTTCCACTTCCTCGTTAGTTAAATCTTTTGTAATTGAGCTGTGGGGAAACTTGTTTGAAAATTTTTTATCTAAAGCAATAAGTGAGACTTGATAGCATAATTAGAATGATAAGTCAAGAGTAGAAATTTATGATACATTGCAATTTTGGATTGGGGTTTTGGTTATGGCTACTTGAGTAATTAATAAGGCCACATAAATTATATATATAGAAAAAAAAAAGTTAATTATTATTTATATAGATTGTTAAATTTTTATTAAAAATTTATATTTAAAAAATTAAAAGTGAAGTTAAATTTGTTAAAAATGAACAGCATAATTAAAAAACCAAAGGCCCAAAAACAAGGATGCTTCCTTGGTCTTGAGCAGAACGTGAGGGTTGCACTATGTTTGGATTGCTGATTTGTTGTGCAATGTCACCAAGACAAAGGAATTCTTCAGCATCAATAAGAACCTGACGTGTCATAGGTTTTTGGTTTCATGTTAGGATTTCGGTGCCACATCACGTGGAGAACCCGCTATGTGCTATCTCACAGGCTTCAATTGATGTGTTTAAAAATTTAAAAATATTATAATTATAATATTACGTGATATTATAAAATTATAATATAAAATATTATTATATATTTAGATTTTTTAATAAAAAATTTATTTATGATATTATATATATTCACTTATTTAAAAATATATTATTTTTACTTAATATCATATAAAATTATAAATTTATAATATTTCATTACATTATATCTATAATGTTGCAGTTAAAAGTTTATTGCTTCACATTGATTGGTTGTACCATGTAAAAATTGGGAGATGGAGCTTTGGGTTGCACTAAGTGGCGGAGTATGGGGGGCTCGGATATTGAAAATTTGTTTACGTTTAATTAAAAAAATTTAAAGTATATATGTAAATTATTTGGAAAAATAGGACATAGTTAAAGTTAACTGTCAATTATCTCATATTTTGTCGTTTAAACTCATACTCTTTTTTTTTTTTTTTTACCAATTCAGAATATAATATTAGCATATTTACACCTTTAATACCAATGGACAATTGATTTCTTTTGGGACATAATAATAGACTTTTGATTTCTTTTGAGATGTTATTCTACAATTATTGATTATTGCAATTAATTGTTTTTGACTTTAGAATTTAAATTATTGATTATTTGACTTTTAATTTCCTTAATTATAATTGTTGATTGATAATACTGTTTAATTTCCAATTAGTTTGAGAGAGACTTTAATCTTTTAAGAAAGAATCATTGTTAATTTTAAATTGTTTTGAGTTTATGCTAATAATCTTTTTGCCTTGTTTTATATCTATTTCCCGACTATTTGTTTACTTTCTCAACAAATGTTTTAATAAGCAAGTTTTATATCTATTCTTATATTAGTCCCCTACAATGCAAATCCAAATTTATATAATTGTTTTGTTTTGTTTTGTTTTATTTCAATTTACAATTTAATTTATTTCCAAAAATTACTCAATTTCTGCACAGATATTTTGGCCTTAATGATTTTTTTAATCAATTTACGAAGCATTTCTTTGTTGGTTTATGATTATTTTATTTTATACTTTGGAATTTTAAGATTTGGATTTTTTTTCATTGTTTTTAGAGTTTTCTTTATTTGTAATTTATTTGTAATAATAAGAAATTATTAACGTTTAACAACCCATTTGGCTTGAATTTCGTTTTTTTATATATAATTTATAGTTATGCTTCCTCTAACCCTACATTCTACGCCACTGGTTATACTAAATACTGTACTTTATGCCGACACTTGGATTTTGACGCCAATTGGAGTTTCCTTCCTCAAGGTTATATATAACATCAAATTGGTCTAACATTTATGATTATTTGATTAAGAAACTGTATTTCTCAAGAAATACTTAATAATGTTAAACTTTTTTATATATAGTAAATTAATTAGCTAAATATACTCAATCAATTAAAAATTTACCATATATGATTCATATAAGTAAATATATGAACTCAACAATTAATTTTTTAAAATGTTAATGTTTTAAATTAAAACCCCATGAAGTTAGATTGATATATATATATATATATATATTATTCTCGATTTATTATATATTTTGTTAAAAGTAAAGAGACCCTTCCAATTAACTATTAGCTTAATTCTTCATAATTGCCACCATAATCAAAGAATAAGAAAACTAGATTGGAGATGTATAAAATAGACGCTAGAAGCACTACTAGAAAAATGACGTATGCGGACCGATCATATACGGACCGAAACGTGTCGGTCCGAAAAAATAAATATTCGAACCAATATCGGTCTGAATATATTCCGGTGGGGGAAAATATACTGATGAACATATTCGGACCGGTATCAGTCCGTATATTTCTGGTGGGAGTCACAGTGTAGACGCGTTTAATATTCAGACCGTTTTCGGTCCGAATATTATTTCTGAAAAAAATAAATATTAAATACCAAAAAATATTTCTGGCGGGAGTCAACAGTACAATCGCGCCAATAATATCCGGACCGTTTTCGGTCCGAATATTAT